ATCCCTTTGATAGGGAGATTAAAGTGATTAAGGAAGGGGCCTAGAGATCTGAACTATAACAGTGGAGAGAGTGCTCTAGGGAAAGACCACACCTAGTTAAGCCTCCAAATTGTGAAAGAAAAATGCTGCAGAGACTACTGAAGAGAAGATCTTCTAAAATGGATAAAGTAGGCTGGAGTCCATCCCAAACTTGCAGTCAAACTTGGCAGTGTCATTCACCTGCATGCTGGCTTTAGAGGCATGAAAGATGAAGTGAAAGTGATGAAAGATGAAAGTGAAGCGGTCATCAGTTCTTCCTCTGAGGTTTCAGAAAGCCACCAAGACCAGGCAGTGTGCAGCAGGGGTTCCTCTGCATAAAGAAGGCCCTGGTAGGCCACTGTGTGAAGCTGTGAAGATGAAGCCTTGTCGGCAATGGAGACCTCAAGAAGATGTTTGTGATGCCAGAGCTGTGAGGCATCTGCCCAAAAGACCTGCATACAGGGAGTGGTACCAGCCCAAGAGAGCGAAGTATGTTGCACACAGCAAAGCTGGAGAGGCTGAGCCATCTAAGCCTTTTGGAAGTAATGTCCCAAAAGTGGAACATGGAGCTACTGGATTTGGTGTTTGCCCTGCTGATTTTAGGTGTTGTTTTGGTCCAGTATTTCCTCACTATGCCTCAATTCCTCCCTTTTTGAATGGTAATGTGTATTTGGTTCCACTGTATGTTGAGAGTATGTAATTTGTCTTTTGATTTTACAGGATCTTACAGTTAAGATATTTCCCTTAGTCTCAGAATAGATTTTGGACTGTGGACTTTTGAATAATACTGAGACTGGTAATGACTATGGGGACTTTTAAAGTTGAATTAAATGCATTTTGCATGTTATATGGTCATGAGCCTATGGGAGCCAGGAGGTGGAATGTGATGGTTTGAATGAAAATGTCCCCCATAGGCTCCAAGTATTGGTGGTTCTGTTTGGGAGGTCTTAGAAGGTGTGGCTATCCTGGAGGAAGCATGTCACTGGGGGTGGGCTTAGAGAGTTCTTAAGCCTTGCAGGATCTCCAGTCACTCTCTTCTTTTCCTGTGCCCACTGGAAGATGTACAGCCTAACTTCTTCTGCTGCTCCAGCCACCTCTGGCCACCAGCCACCTCTGGCCACCAAGCCACCTCTAGCCACCAATGCCTCCCCGCCATAATGGACTGTAATTCCCCTGGAACTGTAAGCTTAAATAAACTCTTCCTTTTATAAGTTGCTTGGGTCAATGTTTCTCTCTAATACAGAACTTGGTACCAGATACAGAACTTGGTAACTAACACAGAAATTGGTACCAGAGAGTGGGGCATTACTATGACAGATCTGACCCAGTTGTTTTTGGGAGATGAGATTTGTGAAAGCGTTTGGGACTTTAGGCTGGAGAAGCCATTGAGGGTTTAGAGTTTGTTGCTGTGGAAGTTGGAACAGTTATACTTAAAGAGTTGTGAACAATGGAGGCCTGGCTTGTGAAGCTTCAAAGGGAAGCAGGGACTATCGGGGCTGTTTGTGTGATGTTTTGAATTGAGAATCTGTGGGTTCTGGTTGGCTGTGGTTGAAGAATCAGCTGTGATTAAAAAGAGACCAGAACTGAAGTAAAACCTATGCTTTACTGGGACAACTGATACTGGTTAGCTGGGGCTGAAAATTAGCTGTAAGCAACAAGAGACTAGTATCACTATGGTGAAATCTTCTGGGAGGTATTTCCTCAGGGTCCGGACACAGAAGCTATGGTTGAGAGGAGGCCTGAGCCTCCATCTCTAGCTGGAAGCAGAACTTGGTAATGTGTAAGAGTCTTCTGCCTGGTTCTGGTATTGAAAGCATGAAGGGTTTACAGAGAGCAGCTGAGGCTTGGTACTCTGAGAGGCTAGGAAAGGCCATAGGTAAAAGTGAAGCCTCTGTTGCATTGAAGACCCCAGGATCAAAGGGGTCATGGAGAGAATATGACACTTTATACCCCAAGAGGCAAGAAGAGGCCATTGGTGAAGGTATAGCCTCAGTTTCAGTGGAGACCCCAGCTTTTTGGAGATGCCAGGACCGAGGGATGACCACCAAGGACAGCAGCAGGTGTGGAATGGAGCTGGCCTGGGTCTGTGAGACAAGCTGTGTGTACCATGGATGGCAGAGTCAGAAGTGGAGCTGCCAGAACCCTTTGGATCCCAGAAGATCATGAGTGAACCCCAAATGTCCAGCCTTGAGCTACTTTGCTGGACTTTGGTTTTGCTTAGATGTGCCTGATTCTTCCCTTTGAAATAAAACAGTACTTGTTTTGGATTTTACAGAAGCTGACCCACTGTTAAGAGACATTCATAAAAGACTATGTTCTTTTAGGTGTTTGGAATTTTTAAGGTTGTACTATCTATCTTATGTTGTGATATTAATGTTAACATCATATGTTGGGGACAAGAATTGGAAAGGTTATGGTTTAACAGTGATATGTTTGTGTGTCAAGTTGACAAGGTGTAAATTGTGCTGGATAGCTTTAGTGTCAACTTGACACACCTGGATTGAGGGAGGCTCAATTGGGGAACTTCCTGCATTGGATTGGCCTGTGGCCATGTCTGTGAGGCATCTTCTTGATTGTTGAGTGATGTGGGAGGGCCCAGCCCACTGTGGGTGATGTAACCCCTGGGCAGGTGAGCCTGTGTTGCATAAGAAAGCATGCTGAGCAGGGGCCAGGGAGTAAGTCAGTAAGCAGCATTCCTCCATGGCCTGTGCTTCAGCTCCTACCTCCAGGTTCCTGCCCTGGGTTCCTACCTTGGGGCTCCCTGATGAACAGTGACTTGGGAGATGTAAGCCAAATAAACCCTTCCTTCCCGAGTTGGTATTGGTTAGACTCTTTTGTCACAGCAATGAAGAAATAAAAGGACAATAATTGGTACCAGGAGTGGGGTGTTGGCTGTGAAGAACCTGACCATGTGGGGATTTGGAGGAATGTGGAAGACTTTGAACGTTTGGGCTAGAAAACCTTCAGGTTCTTGCAAGGTAGTAGGCTGGTCAGTAGTTGGTGGGTTAGTGTTGTAGGTAGGCTAGTCAGGGTAATAGAAGGGCTGATCTGTTTCAGACAGGTCAGGAGTCCAGGAGAAGGTGGAAATGGTGACCCTTGGAGGGTCTTAACAAACTATACTAGAGGATTGAGCTAGTCTGGGTTAGGAAGCTAGTCCAGAGATCTGAAGCAGGAGAGTAGGAGTGGGTCTGTGCCCAAGACTGGCAGTATGACAGTGTGGGGATGGGTAGATTCATGAAATTATTTCTTTTGAGCTGTTTGTGTGTGTGTGTGACTATGGTATTTGTGTATGTGTAGTACATGTGTGTATACAGATGTGCACACCTTTGCAGAGGCCAGAGGCTAATGTTGAGTGTCTTCCTCTATTATTCTTCATCTTATTTTTGAGACATAATCTCAAACTGAACCTGGAACTTGATGATTCAGCTAATCTGAATAGATGTAGATGAGCAAGTCCCAGGCATCATCCCATCTCCATCTCCCAGTGCTAGGATTTCAGGCATTTGCCCACTCTTTTTTAAAAGGATGCTAACTCCAAATTGAGGTCCTCATGCTTGCACAAAAAGCACTTTACCAACTGTGCCATTTCCCCAACCGTTTTGCTTTTGAGCTTTTAAAACTATATATAATTACTCTGGTTTCTCTTCAGATCATATAAATCTTTTGCCTTTTAAAAGTTCCCATGCTATATATGTTATATTGAAATTCTGGTCTTTTAAATTTTTTTTTTCTCATAACTGTAATAGATTTTACTTGAGAGTAAGGCATTAAGGCATTCAAACAATGGGATCTTAACAGTTGTTACTGGTTAATGGAGTTAATATGTTCATTATTAAGTTCCTTTTTCTATTTAAGAAGCATGTGTAGCCAGGCATGGTGATGCATGTCTTTAATCTCAGCACTCAGGAGGCAGAGGCTTGGGGAGAGGAGGTCTCTGTGACATCAAGACCCTGCCTGGTTTACACAGCAAGTTACAGCCAGCTGGGACTTACAGGGAGACCCTTGTCTCAAAAAAATAGCCATGAGAGCTTGTATCCTGCCTATCCAGATTCTGTTCTATATATGTCCTGCCTGTTTTGCTTCTGAATCAGTCAATTAAATACTTCTAATGTACACATGGGTCATAAACTCCCAAGTGCCTCTCAGTAACTGCTATGATCCAAGTGATATTTATTGAACATGTAGTTTTGAAAGTTGGGGGTGTGTTAGAGATCTTCCTAATTGTGCTCGTTTGTTTTTGTGAACTTGATGCAGTCTAGTCAGTTGAAAATAGGGTACTTCAACTGAGGAATTTCTTCCATCAGATTGGCCTGTGAGCATGTCTATGAAGCATTTTTTGGATGGCTAATGTATGTAGGAGGGCCCAGCCCACTGTGGGTGATGCCATCACTGGGCATGTGGGCCTGGGCTGTATAAGAAAAGTAGCTGGGCAATCCAAGAAAAGCAAGCCAGTAAGCAGTGTTCCTCCATTGTCTCTGCTTCAGTTCCTGCCTCTAGATTCCTTCCTTGAGCTCCTGCCCTGTCTTCTCACCATGATGAACTGTAATTTGTAAGCTAAAATTAAACCCTTTGCTCCCCAAATTGCTCTGGTCAGTATTATATCACACAACAGAAAGGAAACTAGAACAGAAATTTAACCCCATCTTTTTACAGATAAAGAAATCAATACTCAGAGAGGCTAATAGACTTTTCCAGAGCCACAAAGTCAGGCTATGACCTACAGCCAGGCCTCTCGCTCCAATCATTTACTCCATTTGCATTGCTTAGAAAGGCTACCAAGAAAGCACCTCAATCTTGTAGTTTGCCATCCTCACTAGTGTTCTATGTGTCTGACTCCTAGGCATTTTTAAAGTAAAGGAAACCAGCTATATGATTTCCATGCCTGTCTTGATTATTGTAACTATGTACAAAACCTCAAAAAAATTAGACCTATAAAATATATCACTAGTACAAATATGGCTTGATTTTTTTTTCTCTGCTAGATTTGTGCCGTTAAGTCGTCAGAACAGAAAGCTTGTAGAGGCCATAAGGCAAGGTGAGTGAGCATATGGTCTACAGTGGGGTGGATCTGAGAGTTCACCTTGTCGGGACAGATATGGAACCAATCCACATGTTTTATTTAGGTCATATTCTTGAGCTCCAGGAGTGTGTGCAATATAAATATGCTCTGGATGAAGCTGATGAGAATGGATGGCTCCCATTGCATGAAGCTGTCGTTCAACCTATTCAGCAAATACTTGAAACTGTTCTTGATGGTAAGAGAAAATGACCATCTTTTGACACAAATAGAGCAAAAATATAGACGTTATGGTGGTTCCAAATGAACCAACAAGCAAAAATAAAAAGCAGAATGAAAGACTATTTGGAATTTGCAAAGACAATAGCCATGTTTTAAACTTGAGTATAAAAATTAACACAGTTTATAACATTTGCAGCTGACCTTTTTCATCCTTTCATCTAAGAATGTGGCACAGGGTGGTAGGAAGGCATTGTTAATACCTGTGATTGATAGAAGCTTTTCACTATCACAAACTAATTGATTCAATACAAAGTTTTTCTTTTTAAGTTATTTTTTTTAATTAACTGGAGAAATGGTTCAGCAGTTAAGCACGCTTGCTACACTTCCAGAGCACCCACATATAGATCCAAGTACCCACATCACACAATTTAAAACCAGTTGTAACTCCAACTCCAGGGGATCCAATGCCTTCTTCTGACTTCCAAAGGCACCCATATTTATGTGGTATACACTCACACAGACATACATACCTACACATACATTTTTAAAAAAAGAAAATGAAAATATTTCTAAAAGTTAATTTAAAATTTTTCATCTTCAGCTATTTTTAACAGGTTCCAAAAGAATATATATTACATTATATATTATATATCACAATAAATAATACCCAAGATATTTGTCCTTATAGTACATTAATCTTTTCATAATGTAAGCATCGCTGTGATATATCAACCCAGTATTAAGTGTTTTTCATATCTCAGCATTTTATAGAACACATTAAAAATGCACTATCTTTTAAGCTTCAGTGTTTCCTAGTTCTATATTTTGAGAGAAAATGAGAAATATCTGATAATTAATTGGCTGGCAAATTAGAGAATTAGAAAGCTAGACAGATATAGATGGCTTTGAAGATATTTCTTTTGTAACACAGTGAAGCATTCATTTAAATATATTTCTTATTCATACTCTTCATTCAACAAATCAAATTCAGATATAATTTATATAATGAATAGGATTAGAGAATTGGTTTATAATGTATCCAGAAATGAGAGTTGGCAACACATTTTTTAAAAAAGTAAAAGTAAGCTGAGCATAGACGTTGGTTTTCCAGGTGTCAACATGATTAGCAAGTCCATGCTGTCTATTAACCCTTGCTGTCCTTTTGTAAATATTTTTGTACCTCCTTTAAGTCCTCTCCTTATCATTAATTGCTTTATTCAATCTAATGTATATAGTATTAGGTTATTCTGATTCACACAGAGTCTCGTAAGTAAATATGTTTTTTAAATTATCAACAAAATGTTTTTACGTCACAGCATCCTGTGAGACACTCTGGGAATTCAAGACCTGTGTTGGAGAAACACCTTTGACTTTGGCAGTCAAAACTGGTCTTGTGGAAAATGTAAGGACTTTACTAGAAAAAGGAGTCTGGCCCAACACCAGAAATGACAAAGGGGAGACACCTCTTCTGATTGGTAAGTATTTTTTTAGAAATTTCATCATTTGAAACAAATAATACACATTTAATAACTGTTTATTGGAATCCATGTGGATTGGCTAACATTTTGTGACCTCAATCCCTTCCATTTCCTGAGTTTTCCCTGCCCCCAGCCCTGTTTCACCTACCCCAGAATTTCATTATCCTGTCCCACTGAGAGCTCAGATGTGAAAAATGGTGATTTAGTTTGGTACTCAGTTGTAGAGCACAGCTAATCAAGAGGGCTCTAAATTAGTTCAGTGAGACCAGAAGCGTCAAGTCTAAGAGGGCTTTCTAGGTACCTCAATCCCTTCCATTTCCTGAGTTTTCCCTGCCCCCAGCCCTGTTTCACCTACCCCAGAATTTCATTATCCTGTCCCACTGAGAGCTCAGATGTGAAAAATGGTGATTTAGTTTGGTACTCAGTTGTAGAGCACAGCTAATCAAGAGGGCTCTAAATTAGTTCAGTGAGACCAGAAGCGTCAAGTCTAAGAGGGCTTTCTAGGTTGTGTGTGTGTGTGTGTGTGTGTGTGTGTGTGTGTGTGTGTGTGTGTGTGTGAGA